AGTCTAAGTTCAGAGTGCTTTTGCAATACGAGGATCCAGTCAGGAATGTAAGTGCCGAAGAATATTTAATTCCCCAGCCTTGTTTCATAGTGAATCATAGATTATAAATATAATTTCTTCCAAATAAAATTTGGGCAAGTGATTGTTTCCTGTGACAAGGGGACGTTTAAATGGAAGTAAATAAGTTTTGATTCTATATCCCAACAGGAACCTCTCCTATCCCTGATTTGGCTCTCATTTTTTAATTTATTTTAATTTATTTTTATTTTTTAAAAGAATTTATTTATTTGACAGAGAGAGACACAGCGAGAGGGGGAACACAAGCAGGGGGAGTGGGAGAGGGAGCCTGATGCAGAGCTCGATCCCAGGACCCTAGGAACATGACCTGAGCTGAAGGCAGACGCTTAATGACTGAGCCACCCAGGCGCCCCCTCTCATTTTTTTATTAACCTCTTGCCATAGACTGTTGGCTATTGTTGCCATGTTGCCATAAATTGGCTATTACAGATAACAATATCTGGTAAGTAGGACTTACACAATTTCTCTTATACAGATACATTGGAGGAGAAAGATTTGCAGAAACACAAATTGTGTCTAAGTCCTTAAATTGCACTGGTCAAATGACTTATGCAAAAGGCGTAAGAGAGGAGAAAAACAGGAAAATACTCTTTTCTATATTTGGGAATAGTTCTTACCTACACTTACTCTTTCCTAATGGTGAAAGCAAGCAGTTTGAGATTCAGCCCCTGGGTATCCCTACATTTCTCATGACAGTTCCAAGTTTCAGAACACCCCCAAGGGTTCTGTGATTACCTGGAGTATAAGTCTCAGGGACCAGGGTGTGTTTCATCCTTTTAGTGGTCAGATCGGCTAGTCTGTGATGAACCTGAATATATTCCAGTTACAGATGTTGGTAAAAAACCTAGGGTCCAAGTGATGAGTTTTCTATTTCAAAGTTATTTTATAGGAAATGAAGCATCTGTTTGAATTCAGAAGAAATCAATTGTTTTACTTTATCAGGCAAATTGTATTCATTTTGCCATACAGGTTTTTTTTTTTTTTAAAGATTTTATTAATTTATTTGACAGAGAGAGACACAGTGAGAGAGGGAACACAAGCAGGGGAATGGGGGAGGGAGAAGCAGGCTTCCCGCGGAGCAGGGAGCCCGATGCGGGGCTCCATCCCAGGACCCTGGGATCATGACCTGAGCCGAAGGCAGGCGCTTAACGACTGAGCCACCCAGGTGCCCCTGCCATTCAGGTTTTGTAGAAAGATGGCTGTCTCCTCTTTCAGACATGACAGTGTAGATATGTACATTTTTCATTCATTCATTCATTCATTGAATATCTATAGAGTATGTTAAGTTTATTTCAAGATCAAGATACCTTGTGGTTAGAAAGGGACAATCTACTTTTTTTGTTTCATTTCAAATATCCTAATAGTTTTTGTTACATAAGAAATGCATGGGACATAGGAGACCCCACAGAGTTCTCCTGAGGGCAGTTTTTTTGACTGGCATGAAAGTGTCAGGTTCCAACTTCTGAGGCTCTTCTACTGGTCATTGTAAATAGGCATTACATTAGCATTCCAGCATAACACAAGTTTCTTCCCTCTGTGTTTATGGAATTATAATAAGGAAGGAGCACAGACATTTCTGCCTTTACCCGACCATGTTCACTTTGGTGGAAAATGAGGGATGAATATTATTCTCATTAACCTGGTACAGAGCTGGCTTCATTCATATATACAAAAATGTATGGTAGCAAAGGGTCCTGTGTTTTGTTTAATGCTCTGCTATCACCATTTTGAAACAATAATCTATGACCAAGAGGCCCTGCATTTTCATTTTGCAATGGGTCACAAAAATGATTTTGCTGGTCCTGCCTACATAGCACATGTTCTTCTTGGCTACATTGATCTGCCCTCAGCCTCCAATCCTACTCTGTCAACATGTCCATTCTCTTGTCAAGTCAAAGAAGCAAATGAGAAACTGTTGTTGCTGTTAACTGAATGCTTTTTAAATTAATTTCAAAATGCTCGTTCCTATGGCAGGTTTATGACACTGATTTTTAACAAAGCTCTGCAAAGTATCCACGTAGATTTCCAATCATGCAATCCTTAACTTTGGTGGGTTTGTTGTTGTTTGTGTTCTAGGCAAATTAAAAGCTAGTAGTGTTGGTTTTAGGCTTTTAATTTTGTTTTAAAGACACCTGAGTACACTACTTGACTTACGGTTCCATAAAGTAAGATTTAAAAAAAGTCTGAACTGAAATGCATTTTCCCATTCTTGTCTTGGATAGTAAGCAGCTCTTTGTCTACATCTGGGAATTCCAGCTTTATGATGCATAAGTTGAGGCATTAGATTTGGAAGCACACTCTGTTGTTATTAAGTAAAATATTTCCCCTGAACTGTATAGAATTAAAAATGCTGGCATTTAAAAGCTTAGCCATCAGCACCTCCAGTGCTATTAATGACTGGGAATCCAGTTTCTGCTTCTTTAGTACCACCCAGTATGCTCAATCTTCCTGCTATTCCAGGGGTCTCCTTTGTGCCTCTGAGGTTTACTCATTTAGGCATTCTCCATTTCTCTTAAGTCCTTTGAGAAGCACTGAGTGTTTGTTCACTGGCTTTTTAGAGCTGGTCCCAAAACTTTTCTCTTTACATATGTTGAAAAAAAAAAAAAAATTCAAAGGGCTATGTTTCTTTGTTCTCATCCAAGCCCACAATTAGCCCCAGTTCCATTCTGTGTAGCTGGAAGGAGGAGGAAAGGGGTGGCTCCACGCATTTTACTGCCTATGAGAAAGTGCTCAGCCGGTTTCTTTGTCCTTTTCGTCAGGGCCGGCTGCTTCCCTAATTGTACCGCTGTAGGGAAGCACGTGCCTCTGGGAGCATTATCTGATTCCTACAGGACGTTCAGGAGTGCTTTGCATGCTGACCCTTAACTTGAACACAAATAATATCTTTTCAATCCCATTCCTAGGCCGCTGCTGCAGGCTTGCATACCTGAGGACTTGAATTCAGCCGGGGGCGGGGTGTGGACGCCTGGTGGGGCCTCAGGTTTTATTCTCTGCCCCCACCCCCCAGTTGTCTCACCTGAAGGTTTGCCTCACCTGTCAAGAGGGGAAGCTGAAGCTGGAGGACAGGAGAGGAATAGGAGCTGCAGAAGTCAGAGGGGAAAGAAGGCAAGACAAACAGCTGCTCTTGTCAGCATGGGGAGAAGTGTAAAGAGATTAATAGTTATTTGAAGAGCAAATGGGGACGTGGCATCCGGCCGTGGAATGCGAATATATAAATGTACTGGAATGGACATGCGGCCTTTAACATTTAGACAGATGCTCTCTGGACTGAATGGAATGGTGGAGTTCGTACTTTCTCCTCCCTGTGTGAAATACCTAAAATTTAGTTAAATAATTTGCTTTAATTACGATTTTTATCCAGCTTCTATTTCTTTGTGAGTCTGTTCTTCTCCATAGTTTTACTTGGTTGGGGACTCTCAGAGTTATCCTTCAACTGAAGAGCCAGACTCCTCATTTCCTTTATAAAACAGGTACCAATGAGACTGCTTTTCTCTTCTTGCTTTTGCTTTATTTTCCACTTCGCTAACTTGAAGAAACAATGAGATCAATATGTGTCAGAAGTTTTCACACAGGAAAAACTGTACCATACAGTGGTTGTCCCTTCTGGAAATGTGTCTAGTTTGACTCCAGTTTAGGGAGGACTTGAATTATCTCATCAGGCTGACAGGTGTGATGAGCTGGGCAGGGCCCTGGACTCAGAGTGAGAAGATTTGGTTTCAAAATTCCCACTCTTTGCTTATTAGCTGATGCTTGAGCAAATCACCCCCCGCTCTCTGATAGTAATACAGTTTTTTTTTTTTTTTGCAGATTAAGTGACAAGTCAATTCATTCTTTCCATACACATCATATCAAGTGCCTACTCTGTACCCATTTGCACAGAACACCTAAGAGCATCAGGCAGAGGAGTACATGAGCTAACATACTTCTGAATTATATCAAATACAGAATGTAAATCCTAACTAGATGGTATTCCTCTTACACATGTTCTACTCTGGCAAAGAAGAAACTGCTACAAAGAAAAGGAAAGAACAGATGAAAAATTAGGCTGTGTTTGGATGTTATACTAGCATGTTATCTTTAAAAATATCTAGGTGGCTCTCCCTAACCTTGCTACCCATGCTTCTCCAGTCTTGATGAACTGAGTCCTTAGGGGCAGGGCGCAGGTGGGGCATTCTTCATACCCTGGGACAGAATTTAGATAATAAGACTACAAGGAAATTTGGAGGACCTCTGATTTTGCTCCATATACAACAATTTGAGGCTTAAATCCCCTTTAGAACATATCTATCCAGTGGTCTTTCTCATTCTGAATACTATGGCAGGAGGGGGAAAAAAAAATAGCAGGTGGTATTCATTTATTTTAAAGACCTTCCATACAACTACTGAGCACTGGACATTTTCGCCCAGTTTGTTAATAAGCACACATTATATATATATAATATATATTATATATTATATAACAACTTATATATAATATATATGTTATATATATATATATTATATAACAACTATATATAATATAGTTGATGCACAATGTTACATTAGTTTCAGGTGTACAGTGTAGTAATTCCAAGCCCCTACCCTATGCTATGCTTACCACGTAGGCAGCTACTGTCTGTCACCAGGCGATACTACAATATCATTGTATATATTCTATTTTCAGGTGCTCTTCAGGAGACCACAGCCTCCAAAGGCTGCACATGAAGCTGTGTGATCTGTGCAGGTCATTGCAAAACACGTGCAGGCCTCAGACTTCCCTTGGTGTTTCTGTGTATCACAAATTAGTCCTTCTACCGAGTATTGTGAGGGTTCATAGATTCAAGGTCAATTCTGTAGAATGCATGCACCAAATGATGATGCCTTTTCAAAGCAATGATCTGCCGCTGACACAGCTAACCCTGGGGTTTCTGGGTGTCCTGCAGCCACAGTACACGAACCTGGGGCTCCTGAACAGCATGGACCAGCAGATTCAGAACGGCTCCTCGTCCACCAGCCCCTACAACACAGACCATGCGCAGAACAGCGTCACGGCGCCATCGCCCTACGCGCAGCCCAGCTCCACCTTCGACGCCCTCTCTCCGTCCCCCGCCATCCCCTCCAACACCGACTACCCGGGCCCGCACAGCTTCGACGTGTCCTTCCAGCAGTCCAGCACCGCCAAGTCGGCCACCTGGACGGTAAGAGCCCCGGGCCCCTGTGCGCCCTTCAGCCTGACCCCTGCATCTGAGGGGGGTCTTCACTGGCCCTCCTGGGGGCTTCTCCTCTGTCAGAGCTTACAGATCCATTTCGAACGGTGGACGGTTTCTCACTGTCCTCCAAGGACATTTTGCTTTTGAATATATAACCCTGAACCAGAGAGAGAAGAAGTGCCATTGAGTGGGAAAAGCCCCGATCCTGGAAGCAAAGTCCTATGTTCTGGCAATTTCAGGAGATCCATTCTCACCTGCTTCTTGCTGTTGTTGGGGAGGGGGGTCCTTCCTGTAAAGGTTTTTGGAAAACTATAAAGCATTATGCCAACAAAAATTATGATAGGCATAGGATACGTGTTTGCATTTCCAAGAATGTAGGATAGTTACCATCTCATGATTTTGAAGAAGTAAATGTCATATTAATATGTGGTTAAAAAAATTGCAAACATGGAGTAATAAATTAAAATCTCATTTATTATGGAATGGCTAAATTCATTTATACATGTAGGTTGTATAGCACAAATCATAACTTATTGTTACTTATATATTTAGCACATTTAGAATTTTTTTTTCCTCAGAGAAGCCTCTAAAACTGTACATCAGAGTCCTCAATTAGTCCAAAGAGATTCTGATTAAAAGTGTTGTGAAAAAAGAACTTTGCACCTGTAACTCTTCCAAGAAAACATGGAAATATTTTCAAAAATTAAAAAAGTATATAAGAATGTTTATTCTATTTCAAAGTTTGTTTTGTAATGTATTATAAATAAAGTTCACATATCAGGGAGGAGACTTACAAGACTGGTTTTAACTACTTGATCAAAGAATGCCCAACACCAAAGTGGCACACGTGTTTTTCAAACAACTTTATATTTGCATGGATTATAGAAGTGCTTCCAAATATTATCATCTTACTGAGAAGTAGCTTTAGAATTGTTTTAATGGGTCTTTCCAACCCCCCTTTGGCAAATAGGTTTCTTTAGAAAGTATTTTACTTTTTATGTCATAGCATCTAGTTCACTATAGCTTTAATTCAGCTGTACATCGTTTATAAAACAATCTACATTTACAACACTACACCCAAATGTAGTTTCACATGTGTTCCCTCATTTTGTCTTCACTTCTTTGTGAACTAGGTAGGACAAGTTTTATAATTCCCATTTTCCTAATGAGCAAAGCTAAGAATGTGGAGATTAAGTGACATCCCTGAAGGGACAGAGGCTTTTGTGTAGCTGGACCTATTTCTGATTCTGCCGTCCCCCACTGGATAGTGTTCTATCTTTCTTTTTCTACTGTTCCACATCAGGATGTTCAAAAGTGGTCTAAAATTTTATATTTGTGCTTTTCTTTCACGGTTTGAGAAGCGGTTCTGTCATGGTTCATATTTCAAACATAAAGTCTAAGTAGGAGCCTAAAATTTGATCTTTCTCCCATGTGTTGTTTATCACTTGTGTCACAGTCTTGAGTGTCTTTTGCATTAATAATCCTGGAGATGGACACTAAAGGTGAGTAACCTTAGAGTCCATAGGCCTTAAGTAAATACTGGATGATCAATCTAAGTAATACTTTGCTGAAGATCTGCTAAAATAGTCATTTTATAAATGGAGCATGGTGTGCTTTAGAATAGGGGTCACCGACTGGGTGTTCACAATCCCTGATCTTCCCGGTTAACAGTCTCTTGTTTGCATACCCAGGCCAAGCTCCACTGTGTTAGGAATAAGCACATCTGAAGGGCTGATGGGCATACTGAGGCCACTAAATGATGGGGCACTTCCCTTCTAACATGGTTTAAGAACCATAGTGTTGGAGCTTGCTGCACATGGAACGTTAAGTCGGTCTCCCCTCGCCTCCCTCATCACCTCCTCATCCAGAAATCTTAAGGTTCTTAAGGTTTTTTTCCAGATTGAACATGATTCTGAACCATCAAAGCCCCTTTCTCAGAGAAGTAAATTGTGTCACAGCAAAAAGGCTGGGGAGCTATACCTAAGTGGTAGGTTAAAAAGGAAAGAAAATGTCTTCTGGAGTATACTTACTTTCCTTACATGGGACAATAGTGAGATCAGTATTCTGAATGAAGGGGTAGGCACTGCTGTTATGGGAAGAGCCACTGTTTGGGAGCCAGAAAACCTCAATTCTAGACATGATCATCTTTGTGACTTTTTAGCCAAGTCACTTTGTCTTTCTCAAGTTCAGTCAGTACCTCTGATGAGGATAAGGATGAGTCTGGTGAAACCTACTTTCTTTTCTTATGGTGAGGTAGTATTAATAATCAGCATAGGAGTTCTTGGGAAATGTGGGTGGCTCAGTCGGTTAAGCATCTGCCTTCAGCTCAGATCATGAACCCAGGGCCTGGGTTTCCAGCCCCGCAACTTCACATCAGGCTCCTTGCTCAGCGGGGAGCCTGCTTCTCTCCCTGCTGCTCCCTCTGCTTGTGCGCAAGCTCACACACTCTCTCTCTCTCTCTCTCTGACAAATAAATAAATAAAATCTTAAAATAGGACATTTTTAGAAAGACTTAGGTTCTCTTTAGGTATTTTGCCTGCCATTAATGAGGGGTCTTTGTTAAGCTGTTTTGCCTTTCTTGGGTTTCTCTTCAGCTGTCTACAGTCTACCCTATAGATTTTATAGGACAAATGATTGAATTAGATGTCCATTCTCTCCTGCCAGTGTATCACATGGTGTTTAGAGTTGTATTAAGTCCTTTTGTGTTCACCATCAGTTTTATTTTAGGCCCAGGTGCCTTTCTCCTAAATTTAGGGCACTTGAACCGTTATCGGAGTAGCTGTTGAGATCACCTAAAAACACCTAAGCTGCACCATCTAACTCTCTGAGACAAATTATATATCCTCCCACTTAAACATAGACCTCGCATTTTTAAAAGTATTGTCTCACATGTTCATTTAGGTTGAGCCTCACAACTAAGGCTGTTAGCCCCACTTTTATGAATGAGGAAGCTTAGAGAAGTGAAGGTAATAAGGCTGATCACCGGTCAAGGAAGGCGAGGACCCCCGGGTCCCCTCACTCCCAGTGCAAGTCTCTCTGCCATCCTGTGTAGATGGGCTTTTCTCCCGATGGAGAGAAGGAGACGTGCCGGGACGGACAGGCCCCGTGTGGTACGGAGGGGAAGCCCAGCTGATGGAGGACTTTTTAAATGTCATATTACACACCACCTATTTCTTTGGCATCTGTGCGTCCTAAAGCAACTTTTCAAAATAAAATACTATCATTTACAACTGCCCACAAACTGGAAGCAGCAGAAGCTGCTGTCATTAGGAGGAGCCACGTTTAACTGCATCATCTTCTGGTAATTTTTTAATAAAAAACCTTTTTAGTACCATTTTATCACTTGTCATCATCCTCCCGTGTTTTCTCTTTTAATTCTGGTTTTACTCAGAATTACTGCCAAAATATAATTAATATATTTAAAGCATAGATGCATATTTGCTTTCTCTATTTTTTTAAATAACAAATGTGATTATGTTTCCAGTTCTGTAAAAACATGGTATTTATTTTAAACGTCTTCCAGTGAAATAAAATGAAGTGTGTTAACATTTTTCCATATTCCTCACAGACCTACACACATACATTCAAACCCAAACCCACACTGAATTTAGGACTTAAGCTTCAGACTCTTTTCTTATTTCTACAGTCTACTAAGCTCAGAGAGGCCTCCCATTTAACATCATGAAGTGCCGGTCTAGTATTGTAGTAAGGAGTCATGAGTCATCAGACAGTTGACAGAATTGTATGTTAGAAATGGCAAGAGGGCCACCTGGGTGGCTCAGTCAGTTGGGCTTCTGCCTTTGGCTCAGGGCATGATCCCGGGGTCCTGGGATGGAGTCCCTCATTGGGCTCCCTGCTCAGTGGGGAGTCTGCTTCTCCTTTTCCCTCTGCCGCTCCTCCTGCTCGGGCTTTCTCTCTCAAATAAATAAATGAAATCTTAAAAAAAAAAAAAGAAGTGGCAAGAAAGTTAGGTGTGGATTTCAATTCTGAAATTTGCTCGCGGCATATGGGACCTGCCCAAATGGGGATGTTAATACTGACTCCTTATTAGGAGGCTTACATGACCCAGGTAGTGCTCTTTTGGGCACCTGGCTTGTCATAGACATATAAATGTTTGCTGACTCTGAATTCCAATCCCTTTGTTTCATGAGCTTATTACAGTTTTGTGAGATTTCAGTTGTATAACCAGTAATAATTTGAAAGAATGCAGAGCAAAATGTTTCTACTTTTTTTTTTTTTTTCTTAGTGCTTTTGGGCAATTCACATGCCTATGCCAGCCCCAAGAGACTGTGATACTATCCACTATCCAAATATATGAATAAGATGATAGAGAATGGTAACAGGCTGTCCCATATGCAGACTCCTACAGGGTGTCTGCCCAGGCAGACACAGGGTCTCCTCGCCAGCACAAGGAAGGGCCCTCTCCAGATTTTAAGAAACTGTTGACTTCAGCATGTATTTTTCATTTTTTAATCTGCTCCTTCATTTATGGGTATGTCTTTTTTTCAGTCACCATGTTAAATAAAGGCTAGCAGTGGATTTCACTCATGGAAGAGTCGGTATATTGACTGGTGGTGGCAGAGTCCTGGAGGGAACCTGCATGCTCACCAGCAGGAACTGTTTCAATGGGTTGTGACATATCCATGTAGTGCATTACTCTATGGCCATTGAAAAGATTCGTATGTACTGACCTGGAATGCTTTGGGAGTTGTTGCTAGGGAAAAGATAAGCTTTGTATGGCACCTACTTGAGAACAGAGAGGTGTGGTGAGGACACCCCTTCTGGGAGCAGAGTGCTCCCTTTCCCTGGACTCTAGTGATCAGGCCTCTTTGGGAATATAGGTCAGTCTGTCTTGATTATCAGCCTCACACACCTTTGTCAGTTTGAGAGCTGTTTTTTGTTGTTGTTTTGTTTTTTTAATAACCCATGGCATACAGTATCATCTGTGTGCAAACACTGCAAAAAGAATTTCAGGTTAGTGTTTTTTT